TTCATAACTTATGTATTGATGCCAAGTTTATTGACATGTATTGGCAATAAAGTAGTTTATATTTTGAATGTGAACCTGTAAAAAAGTAGACATGCAGACTTTTACCTATTCATATTCAGAGGGTTAATATGCTAATTGAGATACATTTAATTTAGAAGGAGCTACTAGATTTTGTAGTATTAATGGTATTTTTGTTCATGGGTAGAGAATTTAAAATCAGTCTTCAGTTATGATATACATACTGCATTAAAAATATTTCAGTTGACTGAGTTAGAGGCAGAGTTTGAAAAGGTAGCTGGAGAGAAGCCATCTCCATCTCGACTCCTAAGGTCCCAACAGGCAATACAAGCCAAGGCAGCACAAGAAACTGGTGGTGATGGTGAAGGTATGTAGATTTGAATAATGTGAAAGTTTATTTATTGTGCATTTCATGTTTTAAACTTCATAGATATTACTTTGTTTCTCGTTAGGCGCTGCTTTAACTTCAAGTCACTAATGTATATAATAATATACTTGTTTGTGTGTTTGTTACAGAAATGACATTTGCGAGCATGCGTATTTAGATAGTAAGTATTATTATAATAGACTAGTAGAGACCTGCAAAACATTTTTGCTTAGAGTAGTTGCAACAGTACTTCTTTAACTACAGGATTTCTAGAATAATACACAAGAATTCTAATCGCAGACACCAAAATCTTGTCATATTATAATTCTGCTGTCGGTATGCCTTATAAGCATACGCATTAAGAATATTACCCAGAAAAACAGTGCAAGCGTCAGCCTGTACGAGAGAGCTGGAAAGCTCAATAAACAAGTCTCTACAACTACTCTATGAATGTAGGAATAACAAAAAAAGGTGGTTGAAAGTATTGTTAATTAACCATTTAGTACAATAACATTAAAAGCTTGAAGTTCTCAAAAAGGTATGACATTAGATCCTAGAATAACATAAAAGTTTATTTATAGATAGTATTAAGTACAGTATAGTTTAGCCCTAACTAAGCTGATGTGAAAAACATATACAGTACAGTGTTAATTTATCTCTTTATTGAACTTAGGCCTAACACTAGTTAAGGTTTTATAAAGTTCAACCTAAATACAAGTGGACTTGCATATTTTGGTGTCTGTGATTACATTTTGTTTGTATTATTCTACAAATCTTGTATTTAAAGAAATACTGCTGCAATATAGATACTAATTTGACAGCAAAAATGTTGCAGGTCTCTGCTAGTATACTTAATTATGGAAAAAATATCCCTATGATAAGTCATAAAATGTTTTTTGCTGTTTGTAATAAACATTTTGGAAGAATTTAGAATATCCAGGAGGATACAACATAGTCTTTCAAAAAATCTTGAATCAGTTTTTTTTTTTTTTCTGGCTATAATTGTTTGTGAAATTTTTTTTTGAAAGATGTAACCTTTTGTAGATTTGACTATGCATTTTAAAATAATATTAAAAATGTATTTAAGTGTAAATAGAAATAAAATGGATTTAATAGTACAAAGTACCTCTAAGTAACTTGTAATGAATTCTTTTTTTTTTAATTCCATGATCTAAAGATGAAGATGAAGGTGGTGATGATGAAGTTGAAGAAGAGATTGACCCATATGAGTTTATAGAACCAGTTGATGTAATAGGTAAATTACCCAAAGATTTCTACGAACAGTGTGAAGCAAAGAAGTGGCAAGAGAGAAAGGCTGTTCTTGAATCTTTACTTTCTTTGGTTCAGAACCCAAAACTTGAAGTGGGTGACTATGCAGATCTTGTTCGTATGGTAAAAAAGGTATTAAACCTAAAATGCCTTAACTTTTGTTAAAATAGTGTAACTTGTTATATAATAAAAAAACAATGTGTTAATGGTACTTTGTAAACTGTTTGGTAGGTTTAATTTTAGCAATTTTTAGCAACTTAATGTTCTGTATAATTACACGTAATTATATATCTTTTCCTTTGAAAGTTTCTGGTCATGTTTATTCTTATACAATGTGGATGCAGTTTTACTAACCTTGTAACCATTAAGAAACTATACACACTATAATTCTGGATATGTAAATGTATCCTCAAAAAAAATTTGGCAAGCTTGTAGTAAACATTACAAGTCTGTTGTACAAAAAACAATTTTTCTTAATTAAGTATTTTTACTAAATATATGTGAGTTTACTTAAGCCCTTACCAGATCAGTTTGAGTGAAAGCTTGTTTTCATACTAAGAATAAAAATACTTCTTATCATCCCCCAGTTTTCATATTTTATTTCTGTAACCACTATAAGCTCCTGAATGAATATCATAAGGTTAAAACTTTTTTCTCTAGTTTCTCTTTCCTGACACTAACTGTAGCTAAATAATCAATGTACAGTGAAATGAAAATATAAAAATATTTTTTCTTATTTGAATGTATCACTTGCTGCAAGAACTTTAGTTAATGATGATAACATTTTCAACTTTTAAACTTGTCACATCAATTTAATTTTAATTTGATGTTTTTTGTTTTTCTGTCTGCTTTGTACCACGTAAGCAGCTTATCCTTTCATGAAAACCAACACATTACAGATAGAAAACATAGCAAATTCTTGTACACTGACATACTGCGTTGTGTGAAATTGTGCACTCGAATGCATAGTTAAATAGGTCCAGTTTTTTCTTTAAGTTTGTTGTCCAAATAAAAATATATGTACCTTTCAAATATGCATTTGAGAACACAAAAATATCATTCACTAGAATAGAATGTTGTAAAAGTATTATAATTTACCTGGCTTTCTAACTAAAATATAAATAGGGTAAAACAAATCTGGTACTGCTGTAAGAAACAACTTTGCTTATACACACATCAATCACTTTCTCTTGATTAGCATCTGTTGCTGCCAAATTCATAAGAACTGTTTGTTGCAAGCTTGAAATAGAAAAAATCTCTGTTGGTTATAAATGTGCATCAAATAAGAACACAGTTGTTTTTGAAAACTTCCTTTAAATTAATGATAGATAAGTGAGGCTTCTATCTTTGGTTGGAAAGTATATTGATATCTCAGCAAATGGAGATTGTACGATTTTAAAATTATATATTAGACCTTGTCATGGTTTATAGCTTGTGTTTATAGTCACTGTAAAAGTTGTGCTTTTGAAGTTATACAAACAAAAAGGGAGAATTGGGAGTTCATTTATGTTGTGACAAAGCAAATGAAGATTGGGGAATTTTTTGAAACACTTTCTTTTGAAATTAAAATATTAAAACTTAGATAATATAAAAAAGTTGAATTATAAACAACATTCTGGTGTCATGTTTAATTAAATTTTTGAATGTAATTTTGTAAAATGTTGAGAAAGGGTTTATGTTGCTTGAGTATCTTTTATTTGCTTACCTTTTGTAAGTTTTTTCACCTTTGATACCCTCTGTTAATATAAACCACTGTCATTCTAAAGTTTGCTTTAAAACTATCATACTTTTCATCCGTAGTATTTGTGGTCATGTATATATATGAAGTTCCTGTGTGAATTTGTACTTTATCACTTAACAAAATATTTTCAGTATAAAATGTGGCTGTTGTTGTTTAAGTAAAGGAGACTGTACTTGAGTAACAACTTCAGTGAATTACATCTGCCATAGAAATTTTTGGATGAGATTTTGACCTGCTAGCACAGGCCTTCGTTATGTCAATAAAGACTAAGTTAGCAGTTGAAAACATCATCCAAAATATTATAAGGCAGATATAGACCACTGAAATCTCCAGTCAAATACAGTTGTTACTTTACAGTATAGGTACATCATATAATATCAGTATATGAAACAGCAATGTATTTCTGGATATCTTCTAATGACACTTATAAGTAGTTCTCAAATTTGAAAGCATTAAATGTTGTTGTTCTTTCTATGGTAGATGGTAGGAAAAGACACAAATGTTCTGGTAGTAGCACTAGCTGCCCAGTGTCTAGGTGGTTTAGCCAAAGGTTTGAGAAAACGATTTCAACCTTATGCTGGACAGTGTATTCCTGTGATTCTGGAAAAATTTAAAGAGAAAAAGCAGAATGTTCTACAGGCCTTGAGAGAAGCAATTGATGCCATTTTCCAGACAGTAAGAAGTGCATTTATCACAAAATTCATTACTTTAGTGTTAATTTGTTGAATTATTAAATGAAGTATAGTTTTAATGTTTTATAGTTCAAGTGTTTTGTGATGTATTTTTGAACAAGCCAAAGGACAATCAACAGATCTCACTATTGTAAATTTTATAACTGTTCCTTCGGTGCTAGTTTAAATCTTGACTAATTTTTTATTTATTATTGATATAGGTTAAGTCATTTGATGCTGAGTTCATAATGTTTTGAAAGTTAACTGTCATTTTTTATTTTACACATCAGTATGTTACAATATAAATTGGTGTGTCTACCAGTTGCACACTGTGAAAATGGCTTTTTTTCCACATAGAAGCTTGCATTGTACTTAAAAAGAAAGCAAATCACAACTAGGAGTGTAACAATGCATCAAATAATTGATAATTGCAATTATGAATGTCCCAATAGCAGTACAAAAGTGGTAAATTTTAGAATTAATAGTAATTGTTGATATTACCCTCAATTATTAATGTTTTTGATAGTTTGCAAACTTCATTATCTTCCCCATTCTCTTTGTTTTATTTAAGCTGTTTCTCAATAATTTCCCTTTGTTTTAGACTGGTTTTATGGTATCTTCTTACCTGTAAGCCTAAAAGAATATGTATCACATCTGCCATTAGTAGTGTTGCTTGCACAATGAACCGAGCTTGTATTGGAGAATTAATGATTACTATGATTCCAAATTTACTTTGTGTCATCACAAAAATTGGCAGTCATTTAGTAAATGTGAAAAGTATGTTGTATATAAAAAACAAAAATCAGATTTTCTTTGATAAAGTAATTGCATGATATGTGAATTTCATGATAGGGATAACCTGTACTTATTTTGATTTGGAAGTTTTCATATTTTATTTGCATAATTCCTAGATCCTCCTAGATGAACATCAAAGTTTTGTTTTTGATAACATTATATATTTTATCTGTAGATTTCTCTTCACAGACGACATATATTTCAGCCTTCTATTTTTGATGAAGATCTAGCATATTTGGCTATTACTGATCTTGTACATTTTTATGGAACCGATAGACTTACTGAAATTTCAAATGATGTTGGGAAAAACAGTGAAAATGAAAAGATGCTTGTGCCCAACAAAAATGATTTGGTACTAAATGAATGGTCTGGGTTCAAAGGCATATTAAAAACACACATAAAACTTAAAAGCTGGACATTTATCTAAAAGGGTTATTAAACTACATAGCGATCTATTTCTTAACATGTCAGAATTATGTCAAATAGCTTTATGCATTTGTGTTACAAGAATTGATTTTGAAAGAGCCTTTTCTCTACAAAACAGGCTCAAGATAAAATTCAGATACTCTATGAAGACTGAAAAGATAGTGTTTAATGAGAATAGTAATGTTAGGCCCAGAAATTTTATTGTATGATCCCAGTCCTGCAATTAAAATGTGATAAAATGCTAAAAACAGAAGAAGTGAGGCTTTCACAACCATACAGAGAATAAAGAAAATTAAAAATATATATTTGTGTCAGTACTGTACTCATCATGGCAAAAATTATTTGGAACACTGTCAGTAGTTTAATACCATACAGTCATCAAATAGTTGCAGTTCTTTTTTTTGTTTTATATATATATATATATATTTTCATTTTATATAGAAAGTTCGTTACACCTTAAGTTTATAAGAAAAGGTTAATTACATACAAATATTTTTGTTCTTAAGACATCATTGGAGTCAATACTAGAAGATGTTCAGGGAGCACTGGACAACAAAAGTCCACAAATCAAGACAGAAACTGCATCATTCTTGGCACGCTGTTTCAAGTTTTGCACTCCTACCATTCTGAATAAGAAAATGCTGAAACTTCTTTGTACTTCTCTTGTTAAGGTATTTTGACTTGTAAATTTTGGTACTTCTGGCAGCTTGTAGTTTTATGTTATTCTTTTAGTGCCTTGGTGGAACTGTTGTGATGTAGAATGAAATGTGTGTGTATGAAGTGACAATAATTTATGATTTCTTGTTTGCTTACGAGATCTTGAAATATAAACTAGTGAGTATTTACATTACAATAAGCTATTTAATAATATAAATAATGTTTGAACATACGACATTTAACGTATAGGGGAAGAAACTAAAAATGCAGCTTAAAATATAATTTTCTCAGTTTGCAACTCAAAGTTATCAATTTTAAAATTTATTACAGTCCTGTCTTACATATTTAGACTATTTTGTGCCATTTCTTCTGAAGACTAGTTTCATGAAACTTCAAAAAATTTCACTCTTTATACTTTACTGTTACTTTTCTTATAGACACTAAATGATATGGATCCTGCTGTGAGAGACAGTGCTGCCGAAGCTCTTGGTACAGCAATGAAAGTGGTAGGGGAACGTGTTATCACTCCATTTATTGGAGAAGTAGATGCCCTTAAAATGCAAAAGGTTAGTTTTTGATCTGCGGGAATTGTTTTCTTTTTCATGTTTGTGAACCATTTCCCTGCCAGTGGTAAAAATCTTGGAATTTTTCAAATAATTCTCTTTGTTTTTATCGATTTATGATTTATAATGAAATAACTGCTACGTGACATGGGCCATACTATGCTGTTACACAATAAGCCATTTTTTGTATGTGCTAATACTGCAACAGTACTATATAGGTCTTATAGATCTTATGTATAAAACTTAACACTGGACTACTTTTGTAAACTATATTTGAAAAAGATCCCTGTATGTCATTTATGCCTTTGCCTGAAATCATATGAAGCTGCCATTTACACCTCGTTAAATTACAACAGCAATACATTGTACTCTATTCTAGATGATGTAGGCAGCCTTCATGATAAACAAGGAAAGGTGAAATGAGCAGCAACAGCCTAGTTCAGTGTGGCACTTGTGGAGAAAGTCTTGGAGGACTAATCTACAAAAGTAACACAGATGAAGTTTTGAAAGACTTCCAGAAGATGAAAGACAGAAATCTTCTGAAAAGTTTTCCTTTTCACCTGTGCCATTTTTTAGATTAGTCCTTCCAAGACTTTTTCCACAAATGTCGCACTGAACTTGGCTGTTGCTGCTCATTTCATTGTTTGTTTATTTTGTTGAAATAGTTGCTATCCTACTTTATTTTCTGTATTCAACAACTTATGCAATTGTAATTTAAGACGAGGGTTGAACAGCATCTTTTTTTTACAAAGTCTCTTGGGTGTAGGTAGAACACAAAAATGCATTTCATATATAAACACTATATATTTTTGTTATTTTAAGAGATTTAGGCAGTATTGTAATGCACCATTCTTTCAGGAAATTGACTTAATGCATGGGGTCATAAGGCCTACTATGGTATATGTATGAAAAATGTTCATCAGATTAATGGTTAAGGGGGTCGTGCATAACACCATAATAAACAGCTATGTTATAGTGGTTGTTGTTATACTATAAATTATAAATTGACCAAAAATATAATTTATGTTAAGTCCCATGGTTATCATGCTATATGTTTGAAGTTTCAGATTCATTGAGTTTTACGAGATACTAATTTTTGTTATCGTTAGGTCGGAGTTGGCTAGTATGCCAGTGGCATGGAAAGGGTTGATTAGCTTTAGAAGAGCTGACTATAAGAATACTTTGTAGTGTACATTATACCATGTTTTATTTTTACATCGAGTTTTCTTCTATTTTATTTTCAATTAAAAGTCTTTTAGGTTAGTATATTTATTAATTCTAATTTTTTGAACCAATTTTTTCCATACAAAAAAAACAACAGAATAATGAATATAATTATAAAAGGAACATTCCCAATTTTTTCCATTTTTAACTAACAATATTATAATTGTAGTGGTGCCATTTTGATAAATTGGAATTCATTGTTCTTTATTAATAAGGTGAAAGAGAGTTGTGAGAAAGCTGAACTAATAGCTCCTCAAGTTCTGCCAAAAGAAAAGAAGCAAAGAACTAAAGCTGGAAAACCCACAGCATCTCAGGCCAGCTCTGAAACACAGTCAACAGAAAGTAAACCGACTTCTGCCACTTTAACCAAAAAAACAGCATCACAGGGTAAACATGTAAGTAGCAGAATTTATCTACATACTGAAGTAGGATGTTTAGTTTATATTCACTATTTCAAGTTAATGAAAATATCTATCGAACATATATAGGTTAACATCTTAGGATGGTAAGTTTATTTGATTTATTTGACCTTCTCTTTTAAGTTCTGCAGATATGAGTTTATTTAACATCTGTAGGAAGAAAGTTTTTTCTGGTGATGGTTTAAAATACATATCTAAAAGTTTCTCTTTATTTACTGTGTAAAGTTGTAGTATATTTTAGAAATGCTTGAAATAAAAAATGTGCAACGTTTTTAATATTATACACAAATGCATGTGTAGTGTGTGTGTGTATATTTCATTTTCAAGCTGATACATGTAACTACAAAATTATTAAAACATCTAAAAATGTGACTAAAATTTCTATCTTTCATTGGCATAACAGTTTTTTTATATACTTTATATATATATATATATATTTTAATTGTGTAACTTGGAAAAAATTCAAGAATTGACATTTTATTTGATAAAAGTTTATTGTAATTAATAGAGTTTGAATTAGATCTTTTTAAAGTATGAAAATAGTTATTCTGTTTTCTTAAAAAATAGAAAGCTGGGTCAGCTTCTGCTAGACCTGTGAAGAAGCCTGCTGGTGTTAAAAAAGGGGGAGCTAAGCCATCAGCAGTTTCATCAGTATCAAGCAGCACAAGTCAGAAGCAAACTGAATTTACAGAAAGGGAGTTATCGGTGAGCTAAAAGGATGAACAAATCGGTGTATGGCATACATAAAGATATGTTAAACTTGCTTTTTAAAAACATTATGTAGTTTGTAACAATTAAAAATGTTCTGAAAACCCATCACAGACAAAAATTACAGTTCATTTCTTTCCAGAAGGTAGGAAATAAGGTACTGCTAAGGTTGTGTGAGTAAGAAAGCACTTCAGCTTATAAACTAGATTGAAGCTTTAAATTACTGTCACCTGATTCATAATATAATCCTTTCATAGTATGAAGGGGAAGCTTTACCCTATGAATTGTCTGTAACATTTAAAAAGGTGTACACACCTATATTATATATAGAAAATATTTTTACTGAACTTTGTGTGTACTAGTAAAAAAAACGATTTCTTTCTCTAGGATGAAGAAGTAGTTTCCCAAGCATCGGATATTCTTTCAGATGAAGTGGTTATTGGATTGACAAATACCAATTGGAAGGAACGTTTAGCAGCAATTGAAAAGTTTACAGAGGTGTGTGTGTGTGTGTATTTAAGCAGAGCATATTTGTAGGAAGTCTTGATGTAGTGTATGTGTGATAATAGGATTAGAATCGATTATAGTCAATAAACGTAATAACACACAATTCCTAATTAATAGAATTAAATACTAATTTTATCTCATTGTATCTTATAAGCAATATAAAAATCAGTTTTTATGTGAGGATGCAAGAACACTGGAAGTACCATTAGAAAGTTTTCATATTGCTGTTATATAGATAAGTGAATATTATGCATTGAACAAAATTAATAATTAAAACGTCAAACCTAAAATAAATGTCTGTCTTGATAGTAGTAAAAAACTAGTTTCTGAAAATACAATGTTACAGATATTTGAAAAATATTAAAATGAGCTTTGCATAGTTACAGAGCTTAATATCTGCAGTTTTTTGTTGTTTTCAATTCTGTTAGATGATGTGATCACCCTAGTGTAATATTTTAGCTATTACAGTTAAGAGTAAATGCTGTGTAAAACAAAATAATATGAAAATCAGAGAGAAGACATATTATGTACTTCAACTGAATCGTCTGGATCGGTGAGTTGGTGGACAGATTTTGGGTAACTTCCCTAATCCTTCTTTAGGTCTTTTTGTATGAAGAAGATTAGCATATAATTATGTCACAGTGATGCATACTTTGGTGAGAAATTGATGATCATATTATGATGACCTAAATGTCAGTACAAGCTTGGTGATGATGTCACGACAGCTTTGACATAGTGTGATCTTCATGATGTCATGATGAATTTGACCTCAGTAAGAGATTGATGAGTATGTGGTTTTTATTGTGGGCTTGCTGGAGTGTGGCTGTAATGTAGGTTTCTTGTTGTTGTTGTGTAGTTTTTCATTTTCAGTGCAACTTTTTCGGGAAAAACTCAGTGGTAAAGCTGTTAGTTAAGACTGGGGATACCAAAGGTTGATAACTTCTAAATCTGTATCTCAGAAATGTTTTTTGTGTTTATATATGACATCTCTGATTTGTTATGTGTTCTTTAGATCTCTAAGCCTATAAATCCCAACTTGTCCAGATCCCAAATTAGTTATCAGTTATTTCAAAGAGATCAAAATGTCATGAACCTATCAGCAGATAAAGAAAATAGCAGACTTATTTTGAGGCAAAAATATTACCACAAAATCACACAGTTGTTGAACAACATATTTCTAAAGAAATAAAGATCTTACAGACAAAGCAAAGTGTGTAAACAGAAACCATAGATAAGCTTCAATAATGAAAGATTAGTCCAGACAGACACTACTAAATCACTCAGGATAATAGGTAGTTGCTCTCCCCAAATCTATAGTCTCCCAGAAATGCAAAAAGTTAAAATCCCTGTTATATCTTTGTTTCATTTCTTCAAAGTTAGTGGAATGTTTTAGTCTAGATTACAGTAAATTGAAGTTTTAAGATGTTTTTATTTCTAAGATTTGAGAACTAATTTTTTGCAAGTTGCTTTGCATACTATGTTCTACTGAATGACTTCAAAATTATTATTTTCTATGAACCTATAAAAATATCAGGTGCTCTAACCAAATCTTGATTTTCAGATAGTACATGGGATGGAAAAAGAAAATATTCCAAGCCAAGTTCTTATAAAAATATTGGCCAAAAAACCAGGCTTCAAGGAAAACAATTTTCAGGTGAGATATTTTTATATCATCTGAAGCAGTGATTCTCAAATGGGTAGGCTATGAGATGCAGTTATGGACTGCTGTGGGTCAAGATAACTGTGATTGCTGTAAAGTAACATGTCATCAACTGCATATGTGGTCCTTGAGGTGCAAAAAGTTGAGAAACCCTAATCTAAAGAATTCTGTTTATTTTTTTATTTCTGTGTAAATCTCAAAATTATATTTTTTGGATTTAAAAAAACAACAATTTACAATCAGTTTTTGAATCCTATTATTGTAAGATTTAAGTTTTATTTTCTGGTTCTAGTGACTGCTACCAAAAGTATTTTTATATAGAACTTGTATATATTATGAATTTATATTTTTAGGTGTTAAAAATGCGTTTTGAAATTTTAACTTACATTGCCGAGAATTCTCCAGTTTCCAAGTGCACAGTTGAAAGTTGTTTGAATGATGTAGTGGAGAAAATTGGGGATGCAAAAAATGGAAGTATTGCTGGTGCATCAATTACAGCTTTAGCAGAAGCGACCAGCTTGGATTACATCAGCTCAGAGGCAAGCATTTTTGTGTCAAAATTTTTTGTATTAATGACATTTTATATAAGGGTTTTGATATAATGATGTGAGAGAACCTAAACAGAATCAAAACAGCTTGATATATTTTGAATTTTAACAAAGTAAATGTAGTTTCTAGCTTCAGTATATCAATAAATATGAATTTTTATTGAATATTTCAGAAAAAGCATTAATGTGAAACGTCAAGTCTTACAACTTGTATGTTAATTAAGAAATGTTATAACCAAGCTGAGGCATTTGTTCAGTGCCATACAGATTGAATGTAGGCCTTGAACTAACAAATTAAATCAAGAGTTTGTATTTATATGCATAATTTATTTCACACCTTCTATATTCCACACTACAGAAATGATGTTCAATTACTTTTACTAATCCTTTTCTATAGTCTTGGTGTTTGTTGATACACTCAGAGCTTCTTGATAGACCACATTAGAAGTTCTTCATCCTTCTTGGGCCAAAATAAAGATTTTTTGGTAATCCTACTTTTGAACACCCAACACAGAATTAACTATATGAAAAGCAAGAGGTTTTCACATGTAACCATACCTGCCACTTTAAAGGTCTGCCCTTGTGATTTGGTTGCAATTTTTTCTGGCAAAAATATGAATGTTTGACATTTTTAATGAAAGAACTCAAAATTTTCCAAGAAAAATTAAAAAAAAAAGTTTTAAGAAAAAAAAATTTAGGAATAATAATTGGTCCAGGACTGTGGAGTCATTAGCTAATCAAACATGTTTTTTGCTGTGGGCATGGCCCAGTGTGGATGGGGCTGTGTGATAACTGCCCTATGGCATGCCTCTTGGACCAATGTATCATCCTATTAAGTTTGATTAAGATTGGTCCAAAGATCATGCAGACAGATAAACAAACAAATATTTTACTTTTATAAATATAGATAAGACTGCTAATTGAAAGTTCTTAGTAGGTAGAATTTGTGGCTGGATTGTAAAAACTATTAAATTCTTAAAGTAATTAATTCTGCCCTCTGTAATTTTAACCAGTATCTATCTTTGGTTTTCAAGTTATAAATTTATTTTATACTTCATTTTCATCTAATAGTTAAACGGGATTTTAGGCTGTTTGAAATGTGAGATTGTGTCATTATTTCTTTGGAAGCTTGATGGTTATTTTGGATTCATTATTACTGTATCATCAGCATAGATGAAGCTTCTGCTGCATAACATTGAATGGTTTTTTAATACCCAGTTTGTGAGTCGGGATTGGTTGGCTAAAGAGGAATGTTATGGTTTCTTTAAAGTATATTATATCCTTAGATCATGAGTTTTTGATGTGTCTGTTTTATTGATCAGACATTTTTATGGAGTTACATTTAATGGTAATTGGTTTAATGAAGATTTTTTAGAACAATAAAAATGTACTCTGATAAAGGTCATGATCTGTTAACCTAAAAAAAAACACTTTACTGCCTTTATGATTCCTAGCAGAAACCATCACAACAAAGACAGTGATGACTAGACATGTTGCAATACTGCTTTAACACACATTGGTGGTGTATGTCTTCCTCTGGCATCTCTGTTGACAGAACCTGTGAAGAAGACAGCCGAGAGAACAGATCTTGTAATGTGCAACGTTTGAGATCACTACTGTGTTTTGTGTGGGAATTTGGATAGGGTCATGTTGATTGTTAATTCAGATTCCAGATACTGCAAATGGCTCAATTCTCTATATTCAGAATTGAAAAACAAAAAAAATAACTTGCAAACTGGGTATTAAAAATAAAACAACTAATTTTGTAACTGTCATTGTAATATCTCTTCTCTCAGGGTTGAATGCCTCCATAGTTGTTTTATATTATTCCAGAAACTTTGTTTTTTTCCCTGACTAAATCTGAACAGAATAATTCAAATGTGTGTAAAATATCCCCTTTCTTTCTTGTTTCTCTTTGGTAATTTAAAATGGGAAACATACAATTTCTTTCTATATATATATGTGTATGTCTGTGTGTTTGCATCTCCATAAAGCAATACATACTCATATTTTGTGGTTTTAATTCTTGGTTTTGCTTTCAGTTGACTTAATTAGTTTTGAATCTTGTATTCTAATCTTTCAAGTTAGTATCTGATTGTGTTCTTTAGTTTGCATTTAATGGTAATTGGTTTTAATGTAGATTTCTTTAATCTTCTCATTATGGGCTTGGTCAATTTGACTGGGTTTGTAACCCCAAAGTAACCATCAGATATTCCATATTATAACTTCTAACATGTTTTGTGTATCTCCATGAAGTTTGTCAAGCTCTGAGTAAGCATTACAAATCTTTTGTATGCAAAATGTCAGATTTTTTAATTAAGTATTTTTGCTAAAGATTTGTCTATGAATATGTGGAGTCAGAGTGCTGTGAGTGCAAAGTTATTTGATATTAAGATTGAAAATACTTTTCTTCACCTGAAAATTGTCAAATTTCATTTGTGTGATCTCTAAAATCTCCTAAATAAATATCAAACGTTTTTGTTTGTTTTTTCCATGAAATCTTTAACTTTTACCTGTTGTTATCATTACCCTAACTATATGCATTTGGTCAATTAGACCAATTTCGTAACCACCATAAAGAAAATACAAAATAAATCTAAATTACTCTTATTTCTAGAATGACTGCAAATATTAACAGTAAACTATAGTTGTTTATCCTAAATTGCTTAAAGCTAGTAACAATATACATCTATTTCTACTTTACCTTTATTGTTTTATTGCCCCATGTGTAACTAATAATCTTGACACACAAGTTGTAAGCCACTTGGTGAATGCATAGCTCCAGTTATCATATTGAATTATGTATTTCACAAGCAGACCATATGAAGAATTATTTTTCATTACCTTACTTAATAAGTTTCTAATTTTTATATTTTAGTTACTTTTATAATGATAAATAAAGAATACACATGAAAAACATGAAATTTAGTATTTACCTTGGTCCTCCTCCTCTTCTTTTTCTTATACTAATGGTACTAGTACACTAAATAATTTATATTTAATTGAATAATGCACCTAAGAAAAACGAATAATAATTTATATGACTTTCTAACTATGTGATAAGAGCCTTTAAAAATATAGGTAAGCTTGCTGATGTGAATACCGTGAGAGAAATTTTCAAACTGGAGGCAAAATAGACAATACTCTTTAGAGAAAACAATGTTGTATAATAATGTGATTTGATAGATTGCTTTATCTTGGTTATAAAATGTTAGAACTATTAGCAATTTGTGAAAGAGGATGTGATAAGTGGGTGTGGCATGTGAATGGTTTTCTAGTTTATGGTTCTGTAATCAAATAAGATTGAAGGCTATAAAAATTATGCTTTGTGTTAGTAATACCTATATTATAATGAGTAATTTACATTAAATTTCATATTTCTCAAAGCAGTGTTAAATAAATTAGAGAAGAGGGAAAGCCTAGAAATCAAATGTCACAATTTTCATACTAGGGTAGATTGAGGATTTTTTTAAACATTTCACCATAAAATTAAGAACTTAATACTATATAATATTAAAATTTGATTGATTAACTACATTTTGATGCCAAATATTTTTGTATTCAGTAATGATAAAATGGTTTAATTCAATTTTGAATGTAACTCTAAAATGTTGACAGGTACAATTTGACCTACTCATAGTGAGAGGATTAATAATAGTTTTGTTATATGCCAGGAATATTCTCTATTCTGAGTGCAGAAAGTATTGTAGAATTGTATAAACTAATTCTGTTTGCAATAAGTTAGCTTTTTTTTGAATAAAATTAAAAAGAAAAATCAGTTTATGCCCTTCAATAAAAGATGAAATGACACATTGATGTAAAACAGTTTTATTGTAATATGATACATGAGTTTATTCATTATCATATAAACAATTCTTTTTCTTCAGGTTTTAAATACAGTTTTTACACAAAGAAGTCCAAAAAATCAGTCGGAAGCTCTGAATTGGCTTGCAACATCCCTTAAAGAATTTGGATTAAAGTAGGTTTCTTTAAAGGATATTGTATTATAGGTCGTGAGTTGTTAATGTGTGTATTCTATTGATTGAAAATGTTTTCTGTTTGGTTTCATGTTTAATATCAAAATATTACATAATAATATTCAGAAGCTTTTATGCTAATGTTCTTAAGAACTTGAGTGTTGTGTTTTGTGAATTTTTATAGTTTGTAAATCATAATGGCATGTTTTCAAAAAGTCTTAGTTAAGTTGCTTTTCAGTAGTTCAAGCATTTGATTGTGGTTTTGGTTTTATGTATTTCTAGAATCAATATAAAGGAAGTTGTAGAACATATCAAGAAAGCTTTGTCTGCTACAAATCCTGTAAGTAGTTTTTATGCTATTCGATTTTGAAATGGAAATGTTCTATAATTAATATAGACTAGTGAAAATTAATATTATAGTTATTAAGCCTATTAGCTACCTGAGTTCATAGTTAAAATTAAGTAATTTACACTGAAATCCTCAATTTTTAACTTTAGGCTAAATTTGCTTTTTCTTTTCTGCAAGGGCCTAATATTGCTTTATTTATAATTGGCCTTGCCTACATTTTCTGATGTTTGCAAGTCAACTGACAAAGATTTTTTTAGTTACTGCCATAGGGACTCCAGGGAGTACATGTTTATAGTGAAATATATATTTTGAAATTGGGGATCAGTATTGTGATTTATTCTCACATGTTTGATAGTGGAATTAATTTCTTTGTTTTGAATTCTTTTTTCGTAATGAAATATTTGTACTTATTTTAAAGGCACCTTTTTGAAGTTTAATTTTTTTATACCATTTCTGTTCCTTACAATGTGGGTTCAAATCTCCGTCCCACCAAACATGCTTGCCGTTTCAGCCATAAAGACGTTATAATGTGACAGTCAATCCCACTATTCCTTGGTAAGAGTAGCCCCAGAGTTGGTGGTGATTGGAGATGACTAGCTGCCTCCCCTCTAGACTTTCACTGCTAAATTAGGGATGACTAGCGCAGATAGCCCTCATGAAACTTTGCATGAAATTCAAAACAAACAAATCCTTACAACAAATCTTTACTAAGAAGCTATTATTGCTGGGAAACATATTATGATCCGTTTATTATTCAAGTCATTTTCTTTCTCTGTCACTACAGTTCTGTGATGTCATATTTGGGCTCTGAGTAATTACTGAAAAAATTCATCTTTTTAAAAGAAGGCAATAAAGAAAATGGTTGTATTTTGTAATATTAACTTCTTATTAAGGCAGGCTACCTACATAGATTGTAACAAAGTATAGCTAATTAACCTTATGGTTATGGGGTTGAATCCATTTGGCTACTTATTGTATGGAGAATGATACACAGTTCAACAATACTAACAATAACTGAGCTTTCTTGACATATCTTCACAACAATTGGTAAGATTAAAAGTATTTTGTACAAAAAGAATGATGTTTTATTTCCCTTTCCTATACTTTAGCATTATTACTTATTGTGTTATGTGTTCTCGGGCAATATTAGGGTATCATAAGCAGAGACACTTTAGCCTTTGTCAGAATGTTGGTGCATTCACCTACTATACTAAGTCTGAACCGAGGCAGTTTGGCTCATATTTTAGAAAATTATTAAACCTTTCTAATATGGATTTTAAGACTTAAATAACACATAAGTAACTAAAATATAAAACTAAAACATAAATACAGTAATTGTCTAACTAACATATTTATAGATGAGAAACAATGCTAAAGTGCTAGCAAGGACAAAAGCAGCAACAATTCTAATAGTGGTTTGATGTTCTCTATGGAATTCTTCGTGCCAACTTACAAATAACTATCGGGGGATTGTGTTTTAAAATGTAGTCTTTCTATTGGTTATAAACATCTAGTTCATCTAATTATAATTGGCTGAGAAATTACCACTATAGTTCTGGAGAATTTCTTTTCTTTTCTCTGAACATACTCTAAGGAGCTTGAAAGAAGATTGTATAAACAGAGCAATTAACCTAGATTCTATCTATACTTAGAAGGTTAGTGTATGTCAAGAAGTATTTAAGTTACAAAGTCTAGGAGTTAAGTCATATGAACTTTTGCATCAAACTGAAGTGTAAGAATTTTTTTTTAAGATTTCTTTTGAAATAGAGGAATTAAAACTTGGCTAATATAAAATTTTGAACTATATTGTAAATTTTAATGCTAATTTCATTGGCATACGTTGATTGTAAGGTTGGTTAATTGAATTTTAAATGTAACAATATTAAACCTTGTGATGTGCAGTACAGGGGTGCCCATAACCATAGAGTTAACTATACTGTTCTTAAATTCTCACTTACAAATATTAGAACACATTGTTTCAATAGTTGAGTACCCTCACTGTTAGAGGTATTTTTTTACCTTAATGACAATAATATCTTGCAAAATTTGCCCACCTTAGATTTATGTTAGTCCTAAATCCATATACTTAGCTGAGAATGCAAAATTATCTTTATAATAAAAACATAATATATATAAAAGATACATTAAATATATCAACCAATACTTTAAGGAAAGTAGCATTAAAGAAATAATATAGTATACTTACTTATGGAACACATAAACACTAGTGGTTTTCTTTATGCACTATTATTAGATTTAATGTTCCTTGTATAACAACACAAAACTTTACATAATCTTCTACATCAACATTATTGTAGGCTAAATGATATGGCTTTAGTAGTGATTTATGGTTATCAACATGTTAGTTACCTGGAGCTCCTGTAAGAGTGAGAAAGGGATCCTGATTTCAAATTTTCAATGCTTAGGAACAAACCACAGATCTGAGAATTTTTTCAATAAGTTCTTTTGGTGTTTTTTTCATTCCTCATAATGTTTGTGTGAAATTATGCCTCTGAAAAATGCAGGAATATTCTTACATGACAAAACATCATGTATGTTAGATATAGCCATTACAGTAAGTGATGACAAACTATATGGATGATTTAAATCTTTTTTTTTTTTTTAGTATTGAATGTACTATTAAGTTTATGAAATTCAAAGAATACACAAGTAATATTTGTTGAAAACAAACTATTTACTATGTATAGATTGACCTCAACTAAGAATATTCTTTGCAAAAACTGTGATATATCATTTGACAAAATTTACAGTGATGCCATTTTCAAAGATGAAGTCATTGGTCACAAACAAATCTTTCTAAGTTTTGTAGTTGGAAATGGTTACTGCTTCAGTCATCAAAATAAGCTTCTTAAAAAATGGGCCTGGCATGGGTTCTAATCCTCGTCCAACCAAACATGTTTGCCCTTTCAGTCATTGAGGCATTATAATGTGACAGTAATTTGGTAAAAGAGTAGCCCAAGAGTTGGCAGTGGTTGGTGATGACTAGCTCTCTTCCCTCTAGTCTTTCATTGCTAAATTAGGGACGGCTAATGCAGATAGCCGCTGTGTACCTTTGCACGAAATTAAAAAAAATAAACTTAAAAAAAATGTATTTACCCTTTGTGAGCACCTTTCAGGTGTCTAGTATGCACCTGCATATTGAGGTTCAAAATTTAAGTATGGTAGCAATAGCAAATATTTCAGTGACTCAAATCCTTACTTGTTGAATGTTATTGTTAAGTTTTTTATTCAAACTATGCACATAAATAAAAGAACATATAATTTATTGAAAACAAAGTATATTTAGCAAATATAAGTTTATGTTTTCAAACAACAATACTGTTAGCAAAAATGTTACCTAGCTTGACTTCACATGAACTTGAAGGTTGTTTTAGGTCACTGATGAATCTTTCTCAGTTTATTCACATTTTTTTACAGTTTATAACCACAAGTGGTTACTATTGCATTCAGCAAAACAAAGGCTCAAAAGAATCATGTTATTGAAAATCAACATTAAAAAAAATGATTTTTAAAATGAAAGGAATTAGTCTTAATGTTTCTTTCATAAAAGTGTTTCAACAAAATTTTGAAAATTTCACAGCATAAAAAAATTATAGATAAGCTAAATGAAAGGAATTAGTCTTACTGTTTCTTTCATAAAAGTGTTTCAACAAAATTTTGAAAATTTCACAGCATAAAAAAATTATAGATAAGCTAAATCAAATTATGTGAATTCCTTAAAACCAAAACTAGATACTATTTAATAAGTTTGTTTTAAGTTTCATGCACTTTAGTTAAATGTTTCCATTGTGATAAGTGTTAATGTAGTTTATATAAAGGGAGATTGTTTGTATGTGTTTCCAACAGGCTGTAAGAAGTTCTGCCATTACTTTGCTTGGAGTGATGTATATGTATATGGGAAAAACCCTGCGAGTTTTGTTTGAAGATGAAAAGGCTGCTCTTCTTCAGCAGATAGACTCAGAGCTATCAAAGGTGGGGTATTTACATTATTGTATCGAATTTAGAATCAAATTGTTTGATGTTACAACAAAACATTCATGTCCCATTGGAACTGGTCGTTATGTTTTTTTTTTGTTGTTGTTGTTGTTTTTTGGTTATATCAGTATGTTTTAACCAAATATTATAATGGAACTTGTTAACACTGGTGTCAAAACCGAACTTGGAAGGTGAGGTGCAAGAGTATATTTGTGTTAAGCACTTTTACCAGTGTATAAAATATTAAATGTCATTTCTTGTTGAAAAAAACATCCCAGCATTTGCATGTGTTTACAGTCTGATGGAATATTTGCTTCTTTTTTAACCATCTAAAATGTAAGTCTATGGAACACAAACCTTAAATAATTCATAAGAAATGCAACATGAATTTATTAGCTGTTGTTTAACATATAATGTTTAGGGGGTTAATAGAGGAAATGATTAGTTCCACTGATTTTCTTTAGATTTTGTGAATTTAGACCTGCTATTTACAGAAATATACAAATTGATCCATAATGCTAGTGCTACTTTTGTTTGTATATAGTTTAATATTGCTTATGTTGAAATTTTGTCATAGTTTCAAGATGTAAAACCACCTGCTCCAATCCGAGGTCTGGGAAGCAGGGGTAAAAAAAGTGATAAAGCTGGTGAAGATGATGGTGAAGATACTGACAACCAACCACTAATCAATGCTTCTGACCTTGTTCCACGAACAGATATCAGGTAACTGAATGTCTAATATTACTATAATGTTTAATCCTACATGCATGGGGTTGGTCAGTTGGACCCGACCCATACTGGAGAATTAATGTTTGCTATAAATTCTATAATTCTGAATTTACCTAATTGTCTTCACTAGGTTGGCTGTCCTTGAAATAATTCATGTAGCTTTGAAATATGCATTTTAAAAAGATAACAGTAATGCAAACAGTGAAACAGAATGCCTCAAAACTACTCTACATGTTCTGGCTTTCCAAATCACTTATAAAAAGGTTTAAAACATATTATTTACTGGAGTACCAACTTTGGTCTTCACTTATTAAAAGCTGCATCAAAAATGTTGCCTTTTACTGATATAAGTTAACATAAAGATATCATAATCACATACTTCACAAAATGGCCATCTTTTGGTTATAAACATGTACCGTAGACAAATAAGCATGAGTTAATAAGTATTTCTAAATAAATGAATAATTGGGAGGATCTTCTTTGAGTGTAACAAATTTATTGATGGCTCAAAAAATAAAGAAAATGAAGGGTTCTTATTTTAAATTCTGGTCTGTGAATATCTATAGTGGGAGATCACAATTTGAGGGCAAAATCACATTTGTGAATTGAAAAATATAGAAACTTATCTTTTATTGGATTTCATATTTTATTTTTGTAAATAGTGGCATAACATTCAATTATTTGTACAAAATTGTATTATTTAATGAAGTTTAAAGAGGAATTTAATGAAAAAATCTTAAAATATGTTTGAGACTGTAAATAAGTGCCCTCTAAGAAGAAAATTTTTTTTCAAAATTTAAAAAATATGTTTCCTTCCACTTCAGCACTGGTCCTGCCATCTATGATTGGTACCTAAACCTTTTTCTAGTCTGTTTTCTTTATAAAACAGTGTCTGGGCGTGTTAAACCTCAGTTGTAAAACTTTTAGCCAATCCTAGTCGAAGGTGTCAATTTCAGTACCATGTTATTCCAATCTCTGTATTATATGTTTGACAAATCATAGGATGAAAAGAAAAGCATGTGATGAAACATTTTCTCTGGATTTTACAATATGAATGTGGGTGGTGCTTATTAAAGTAACTGCCATTTTATGTAGAGGTTGTATTTAGTATTGGCCAATAGTACTTTTCTATAAGCGTTAGAAAACTTGCTTCTGGAAAAAACTGCATGGGATGTACGTGACTTTTATTATTTTTCTATAGTAGCTTAAGTCATGCTGCATCGTATATCTATTTATATTAATCATTATATTGAAAAATTAACTCAAAATAGATATATTTTTTTAGGAAAGATGTTGATCCACGATTGTTAGGGTTAAGAGCTATTGAGTGGCGAGTGCAAGGTCTTTACACGAATTAGGCTTAGCACTCTGAACTGAAAGAGTTTGTGATTTTTATATTCTTTTGCATTTAAATTTGTAGTTTTAAGTTCAATAATTTAGTGTAATTTTATATTTAATTCATAATAATAATATGATTCAGTATTTAGAATGATAAACTTGTGTGATTTGTATGTAATACTACTAGTACCACATAAGAATTTAATATTTTTCCTTCTTACAATCTTTACTTTGTAGTAAGACCCACACTTCTGTTGTTATTGCTTTAGAATTAAAACAGTCTAACTGATATATATAAAGTTTATTCTGATATTTGGCAAATGGTTTAAAACTCTGTATACAAGTGACAACAATAAAACTCATATGTTGGTTGTGAAACAGACTAAATACATTTGTCTCAATAATACAGGGAAGCTATGACATTCTCACAGTTGGGGTCTCAATACACTGAAGAGCTTAAGTTTCAAATTCCAACATAAATCTTACCTATAATGAGAGGAATGTGACCAGAACTAATCTTTTAAGTGCTGTAAAGTAATTTTCTTTGTAAATTATCGTGTCTGTATCATTTGGTAATCTCTTCTAACAGGATGTATCAAGTAACTAGGGTCAGGTGTACTGTAAACTGTTAGTATTACATACATTTGCTAGTAGTGGCAATTAGTTTTGTCTATATAGTGAAATAACATACATGGACATATGTTGAAATAAACTTGTTTGAAAGTTCAAAGAAATGATATTCAAGTACCGAAAAGCTTTCTTACTACCATATCTACAGTAATGTTGAAACGTGCCTGCGCTGGACTGAATGAGAGTGACCACTAACAGGCATGATAGTTTATGGCAAATGTACAAAGTTCACGCTGCTAACCTCACGATTTATTCAGCACAATAAACAAAAGTATGGCTGCAATGAAACATAAACATAAACTTGAAATAAAAATACATTTATGAAACAAAATTAATGTTTTTATTACATATATAAACATGAAATCCTAGTTAAAAATAAAAATACTTATTTATTGTTTAGGTTTACTTACAAATATTATTTTGGGGTCTTGTATATTACTTGAAATCATAAGGAGAGTACGTGATTATTAAAAATAGATAAAATTTGCATTTTATGGACAATAGAAATTTTTTGGATTTCAAAATAATCTACTAAAACATAAAAAAGTAATAAGTTCAAATCTGGAACAAATATAAATATTGTAATCATTTCTTATAAATACCATTCTCTAATGTAATTTTCCAAGATATTAAAGATCATAATGCAAAATAACTAAATTTATCAAAAGTAACAGGCTTTATGTTTCTTAAACTACGTACATTTATGTATGAAGTTTCAAACAGTTTCATCCACTAGTTTTATTGTTGGAATGAAATATAGCAAGACTTGCATTGGCTACGCAGAAAGTTAGTAGCTGGTAGTAATCGGGTTAAATTGTGTTCTTAGGTGCATTATTTAATTAAATAAAAAATTATTTAGTGTAGTAGTTTCATTGACAGTCGGCAGCATAAACAAATGATGATCGATGTATTATATTTCTTGTTTTTCATGCTTATTTATTATAAAAGTAAATAAAACTCAAGAAATTTATTACATTATTAGATAGGTTAGATTAGTTAAGAAAGAGAATAATGATAATAAATGTTCACATAGTACTCTTGGAAGCACCTCACAAGTAGCCAGTGCCTTGCGGAATTTAATAGGGTAATGTGAACTGTATGTTTTTGAAGTGATTTACAACTTGTGTGGTGTGAATATTAGTTAAACATGGTTTAAGGGACAATAAAATTTAAGTATAAACAAATGTAGCTTCTTCTTACAATGGCCCGGCATGGCCAGGTGGTTAGGGCGCTCTACTTGCAATCAGAGGGTCGTGGGTTTGAATCCCCGTCACACCAAACATGCTCGCCCTTTCAGCCATGGGGGCGTTATAATGTGACAGTCAGTCCCACTATTCGTTGGTAAAAGAGTAGCCCAAGAGTTGGTGGTGGGTGGAGATGACTAGCTGCTTTCCCTCTAGTCTTACACTGCTAAGTTAGGGATGGCTAGCGCAGATAGCCCTCATGTAGCTTTGCGTGAAATTTAAAAACAAACAATCCTCTTACAATTTGAAGTTATTCTAGAAAGAAAAAAAGAGCAATTTAGATTTATTTTGTTTTGTTTTTTATGGTGGTTACAAGATTGGTCAAATTGACAGACTTCGTATAGAGTTAGGGTGGGGGAAATAACAGATTAAATGTTTGAAATTTACTTGGAAGATTTAGAGATTACACAATTGAAATTTGACAATTTTCAGATGAAGAAAAGTAGTTTTTCTTAACTTAAAAATCACACTTTGACTCCATATATTCACAGAAAGTTTTAGTGAAAATACTTCATTAAAAATTCAAAATTTTTTCAACAAAAGTCTTTTAACTCTCTCAATACAGGCTCAGTCCCTGGGACTAACTATGAGACCATTTTCACTTATATATATAGTTTTAATACTGTAACTTTTAATACAGTATGTGTATATCCACAAAATTTCAGACTTTTAGTACACATTACAGGTATTTTGTACACAAAAAAAATATTTTTTTTTAATGAAGTATTTTTACTAAAGATTTTCCATGAATTTATCAAGTATTTGTTTTGAATATTTAGTGTGCAAACTGATTTTCATGTTAAAATTAAAAATACTTCATTTAAAAAAATCTCAGTTTTGATTTGTATATATATTCTCTAAAACCTCCTAAATACATTTCAAATGTTTGTTTTCACTAAAATTTTATGTATTTTCTCTACCCTAACTCTACACAACGTTGGTTAATTTGACCGACCTCGTATCCACCAAAAAAAACAAAAACAGAACTAAATTCCCCCCCCCCCTTTTGGGGGGGGGGGGGATACTTCAAATTGTAACCTGAAACTACATTTATTTATCCTAAGTGGCTTTAAACATCTATCTATTTATAATTAAATTTTATTGTTTTATTGCCCTTTGAACCATTGTTTAATTTACTTTTGAATGTTACTGTAAAAGTCGTGACATGCATTTTGACCCCTTCCCCACTCATGTATATAGGGTTAATAGAATCATTGTGAGATATATAACCCTGAAAGGTTATTATATCAATGGTATTCTCACTAACAAGTAACTGTATAGCATCTTGAATTGCAACTTATTTACATGCTGATCTTTTAAGCAAAGTTTTCTGACTTTATATGTTATTAATTAATCTATTTTGTAGTGTTCTCCATTGGGATATGGTATTGTACCAGTTTGAGAAAGCTAAAACTAATATTTGTATTTAAAGCTATGCTGGCCTGGTTTACTTGAAAACCAGTGGCCTTAGACTATCACCTTCAGCAAAATTTACCAAGAAATGAAAAGAATAAGATTAAAAAATTAAGTCTCTTGAAATTTTATCTAGTCATGACAAATGAATAATGTAGTTTTAGCTCATTACCATGGGGGTTGATAGTATAAAAACTAAGTATTTCTGCAGTATCAGGAAAAGTGTTGTAGCAACCAGCAAGTGTTTCTTAAAATGTCATAATTGAATATTGGATAACAGGCAGAAGAAGTGAAGTAAAAACACCTGCAATTTTTGTGAAACTTGAATTTAATTAAACAAAAAAAATGGATTAAAAAGATAAAAAACAAATTATGCAGCTATGGTTTATAAATGAGTAAGGTAAAATATTAGAAAATCAAGATGATGTTAGTATAGTTAGAAGATTGAAAATAAATTTTTGCCTTGTAAGATAGATAAGTTTTAATTTGCATGGAAAGGTCCTGTTGTGTTTAGAACAAAATAAAGGGATCGAACTGAAATAAAATTTTGAAATTTATTTTTTTTTTGATCAAAAGACAGTTATATGCCAGACATTGTAAGAAATATCTGTTAAAAATTAGGTTTGTATGAATATATTCTGCAGTAGTCATATCACAGACAGCATCTTGACTGAAATGTCAGACAAAAGTTGGAAGGTTCGAGCCGAAGCATTACAGAAAATATCATCTGTTCTAGCTGATGCCAAGTTCATCAAGCCCGAGTTAGGGGATTTACCTTCAGCATTAGTTGCTCGTCTAACGGACTCCAACAAGAACATGGTAATACCTCAACACTTCTGATATTTTATTTCATAGTGTGCTTTGTAGTAGTTAGGCATATAAAGCAAATAATCAAGTTTTTTACTGCAGTAACACAATTTTTCTTGTAGTTGTCTTGGCTACAAAAAAAACCTTTCATGTAACAAGGTGAGTATTAGCTTATTTACACTGTAGTAGAATGAAAAACTTCATAAAGAAATTTAGTAAAAAAAAACTACCATTGCACTCTGATCCCCATCTTTGTTTTATGGTCCACTTTTCTCTTGTTTAATGGTATTATCTTAAACTGTTATTGCCAACCATAACATTCATAACAGTATTTAAAAAAGAATATCTCCTCTGTAACTTATTTGTATATTTCAAATTTATAAGACTTACTTATAACTGCTTTTCCAAGAAATTATTGTTGTGACAGTTGCTCCTGGTGGCTTAAGATTTGTTGTAATGTAATGTATTTCTACGTATTTGATCTGTTGTATATGTTTCATAAAAATACTTGTAAAAGTATTATATAATGAGTCAAAATTGTGAAACTAAATATAGATCTTTAACAGATGAACATGATTTTTGAAGTAATAAAGATTGTTTTTTTTTCACTCTTCTAGGCCATTCAGTCCTTGTCTATATGTAATACTCTTGGCACTTCCTTAGGACCACATTGTAAACATCATGTGAGAATAATAGCACCAGGTTTGTTTGCTGCTATTGGAGATAATAAAGTGAGTTTCATTCACATTTTATAATATTAGAGAACTTATCTCAAAAATTTAAATTTCTGCTGGAAGAGTATCAAAGCTTTATAAAGGTTAGGGAAGGGAGAGCATTTAAGTGAGATATATAGCAGGACATTTGGTGCTGTAAATTTCAGTTATGATTAATTTAGTCATTGTTAGACTAAAATGTGTCGCTGTAATGTATTTATTTTGGAGCATAAGTAAATAGCTAACTTGATGTGTTATTGGCCTTTATAACTGCAGTGAATAAACATAGAGGGTGGCTCAAAATTTTGTTGTTCCTTACTTACATAACAGATGTTATCTTGCATATCATTGCTGTTGTAAGAAAACAATACAAGTTTATTTTTACATGTATTGTACATGGAAGTGTTGCAGAAAGTGTTGTTTCACATCCTGTCAAAACTATGTATCCATCTTCCATTTTTCACTGTATCAAAACCTTTTAGTCAATTTCACCTATTTTTTGTAGGTTCAAAACAATGTATCTCTGAATGTGTAAAATTGAGATTTTGGCATACACAGTTTTGACATGATAGCAACAATGTATTTTATATTACATTAGTACAACCTTATCAGGGATTTTCAAACTATTGATAAGTTTTCAAGGATGGTGAAGAGCAGTGCAACAACTGGATGTGGGTCATATATGATTTGTAACAGATAATTTGAAATATTCTTACAATTTATTATTTCTAATTAATCATTCACTGAAGAATCAAGTCTATTGTTCTGTTCTCTACATGTTGATTATATACTTACCTTTGTGCATGACACATATTAATAAAAATGAACTTTAATTTAAACATATTTCCAGAATATGGTGAGAAGTGCAGCACTGAACTGCCTGAACACCTGGTATGAACAGATTGGGCTGCTGGCTTTCTTTGATGGAGAGATGGTGAGTGATGCTCTACGTACTGAAAATCCTTACCAACGAATTGAGGTAAGTAATCTTAGCAAAAGCACTTTTTAACTTTCTGTATATGAACTGACTACTTTGTAGGCATAATTTTCCAGTGCTTATTTCTTAACAAATTGAAAGAAAAGCAAGATAGCAACAAAATTTTAAAATAATTTAGCAGTTTTTTTCTAATATTAAACTTTTATTTTAATCAATCAAAACTAGTGTTAGTAGTAATACAAAAGTACATATAATTCTGAGAAGTGTACAGTATTCTACTTTCGTGTTTGTGTTTTCGAAATTGTCCCATTTCATATTTCCCATCACAAAGCCTTCTAATGCATCACTTTTTTAAAAATTAGTGATCAGGAAATAATGCTACCAAAAAATTATAGTCATTATTTCATTTGTGATATTTTAACCCTTTCAAGACGGGTCATAAGTGAAAAGCCATGTCATCTCGTTTGTTTACTTGCCTTCAAAATTGTATTGAACTACTATTTCGTGAATTTATGTCCATAAATTTGGTATCCGACTGTAGGTTATAATTCACATTTTAGAACTATACATTACTCAATTTCTTAATTTGAAAGTAAATATTAAAAAAAACAGATAAACGTCGATTTTTGTGTGTCACGTGGTATGTTGAATGCAGCACTGGT